ACGAAGAGAGGATTACAGGCTGCAGCTGCAGGCCGATGTTTATGCCGCTGCTGAGTGCAGCGATCCAAGAAACCGAGTTCATCCTGGATGTTCTCAAAACGTAAACCGAGCGGTAACAGAGGCTTACGCGCACACAGAGTGCTGAACTGTGTGTTTCAGCACTCTTTGGATTTCCAAACGATTCTCGCGTCGCTCCTTCGACTCGTGTAACGTCACGATCGCTGTAAGTGGTACTCCAGCGCATCGATTTTATTTCGTCTTTCAAAACGGGAATCAACAATATCTTGGCTATTTATACGTTCAGGAATTAATAGATGACTCGATTAGGAAGTGAATAGCTGAAGAATTTATGAAGAATTTATAATTATAATTACTGTGTAATTAAACGTCATCTGCAAATAGCGTTAAGAAAACTTGTGCGTACGTCAAGTCTAACACTTTGTACACGCAAGTATATACAATGAATGTACGAATGGAAATATATGCGTAGTATTGTATGACGCGCATAAACTTACGATCTGAATCGACAGAACGTTTCCGTTTCAGCATGAAAGCACGCCGTTATACGAGAAAAGCTACACGAATAGCGAAACGTTCTAACGGTGGGTAGATTTGGATAATAGTTGCTCGAATAATAGAGAACGTGCGCCATACGCTGAAAGGTACAAGCATTAGGCACATTCGATCAATCTTTGACCCTCGAAATAATCCCAGGGAACCTCCAAATCCCTCGACCCCGTTTGTCTCTCGATTCCCCGTGTCAATGGCGCGCGAGGCCCAAGGTGAAATAGAATTTAGGGGGCCCGACCTAAATTCAAATGGGACACATTTCTGAATCGAATCGAATCTTATTCTACCTCAGAATCGTAAGGACTCTAAAGCAAAATAAAAATCTTTAGAAAACAAGGCGTGCAGATACTTTGTCGGCCTTGGTTAAATTTCAGACTGTAAGGGCCCCTTCGATAGAGATCAGAGGCAGATGTTCCACCTGCTCGCGAGAAAACGCATCTCTGTGTGCAGGATCGAGCCCAGGATCGAAGCTCGAGGCTGGTGGCGCGTCTTTCGGTCGATGAAGAAGCAAGAGAGGCGAAGATTCGAAAAGGTGGGAGGACCTCGTTCCGTGGTCTCATTCAGGCAGCAAAATCAGGACGCGTGAAAGGGCTTCCGGTGGCATTCAGGTATCAGAAGGCAGAAGAAAGAGGGAATTAACGGGTGAATGCCGCGACGGTCGCAGACGCGTCCCTTAAAATCGTGCGTGTACGCGCTCGCGCGTCCACGTTTGCGTGTCCCATTATGTATACGGATTAACCTTCATTCACGGCCAAGATCTATTCATCGAGCTCCCGTGAACCCCCGAAACAATGACGGCCGTACATCTTCGTTTCGCCTCGGTTTCGTTCCTTTGGTCAGCGCTCTTCCCGCCACCGCTCCCTTTCTGATTTATATCGTGGAGATGGCTTTTGAAGTTGCGCGCAGACGTCCCCATAAATTTACGCCACCCGCCGCGGGACCGTTCGATGTTGCCTTTCTAACCAGCAAATTGGAGTACACTGTTAATTAAGATCGCGTGATGCCGTCTCGGCTCCCCGCCGTGTTCCTACGGAAGGAACAGTTTCTTCTACTTTCGGGTGACAAACTACGCCGCTGCCAACACCGGCAAGCCTGCGTTCAGGGACCCTTTACAGAGTTTGAAAGGGCAGTGATAATGTATCAGTTGACGTTATTAGGAAATGTGGAGTGTTTAGTACAATAATGGAAGAAGGATGCAACGAACTGCTTCGAGGGTTGAATCGTAAGATTCGAAGTCTTAAAGTGTTGCAAGAAACACACGAATTTTTGCGTTGCCATAAACAAGCCTCGAAGCGGAGAACAAAGAGTAAAAGACAAGTCGAGACTCCTTTCTCGATTTCGTCGGTGAAAAGTGGGTCGCGCGTCGGTGAAGACGCGGAGAATCAGGTACAAGCGACTGGAATTTCCTACAGCGGCGGGGAATCTCGTAATTTTTTATGACTTGTACGAACGAGTTAACCGGCCATTGGATGGATGCGTGTTGACAGTTTCGAGTACACTTGGAAACTCGTACGCGCGAGACGAGGAGCGAAGGCGACAGCTCGTATCGTTCAGCTGGGGCTGGTTGTTTCCATGCGAACGCGTCCAACGAAAGAAAAAAAAAGAGGATAGCAGCGCGAAAATTCGTGTCGAGCTTCTGTCGTACCGATAATATTTCACAACCGGTGCACACGAAGACTGGGGGAGAAGAGCGATGATCGCCATCGAACGATCCATATGTGATATTTTTTTTTTTTTTTTTTTTTTTGCTTTGGAGTGGAGCGTATTTAATAAGATGTCGTTTACTATTGTGAGGTTTTTTTTTTTATTTATTAACGCAAATTTACGATACAGAACACAAATTTACATTGGAATCTCCGGTGAAGCTAACTTCTTCCTGGATTGTGCGAGTAAAGCCGAGAATCGACTCGAATCGGGAAAAAGGTTTGGGAACAACAAGAAGAGTCGATGAGAGCCTTTTTGCCTATAGCGCACGAAGGAAACTGAGTTTCCAAGTTTTTCCCGAGGAGAGCCGACGGGGCAGAGGAAACGTGATCAACGAACGACGACGACGATGCAGCTTTGATCCTTGGTGGTCTTTGATCCGAGCCGCGGCGCGGATTTGTTACTCGTCGTCCCTGTCGTCGATGGAATCGAGGGGGCAAAGAAAATAATTGTCGTTGTTGTAACGGCGTGGATAATGATACGCTGCCTGTGAACGAAGCCTCAAGGATATCTGGTTTTCATTGCGGGCCACCGATTTTCGAGCACTCGACCAACCACGTTAATTGAAGGTTTATGTAAGTCCTGTTTCGCTGGAGCCTATGGCTCGCGCGCCCTTCTTCAGCGCGGGGATAATCGTCCTTCGTGGAATATTGCGATCGCAGCCACGCTTGGAATCTCTTAACCGGTCCTATACGGGGTAAACAGAAAGCAATTTTATAAACGAGGACCAAACTGACGGTCGATACTGGTGGATCCTTCCAAGATGCAATTGTCCTTTTGAGAGATGTAATCTTTCTTCGGGGAGGATAAAGAGTTTCGTGAATTACAGGAACGTTATAGAGATTTTCTTCCTTTAGTTTCGTCTATATTTTTGCTCTCGGGAAAGTCTTTATCGAAAATTTCCAAAATTACGGTCGAAGAACTCCGACCTCGATTCTCGGTGAACGCGGTGCAAAGAGAGCGCCAAAGACGAATGCTTCGATTGTTTTATTGGAGCGAATTCCGAACGGAATTTCGAGGATGAAATGTGGCCGATTCTCGACTGGATAAAGCCAAGCAGTATCGATACAATTTATTTCACCCGAAATCATTTTCGTTTACTTTGAGGTAAGAAATTTATGAGGAAATTCACCTCGCACTTTACGACTTTCTTTCGTGGGTCTTCAGTTTTGTTTCCAAAAGTTATTGCTGATATTCTGTAGTCCTGTAAATAATTGAAACACGTTTCGGAAGAAGTGCGTGCAAATAAAAATATAGAGCAGTTCAGAGTAGAGCTGTCAGAAAGCTCGGAAAAGAAAGCCGAGAACTCAAAACAAGCGAGCGGCTAGAATAAATCGAGCAATCCGAAAGAAAGGAAGAGTTCGAACCTATCCTAAGGTTGCCAAGTTGTTTAACCCTTTGCCAATGTGAGGAATATTATTTATTTGACACTTTGCACCCGGAACATTGTTTTTTTTTTATTTACTCGACTATATCAAAGGATTATGCTAACCAACTAGCCTTTAGTAATGAATGGGATGCGTCATTACCCCAGAGGAATGAGCAGCACTATAATTGTTAATAATTATACGTTATTATTCATTAATTTCATTGCAATCATATATTTCCATATATAAAAGCATATTAGGCAAGTTAATGGACACGAAATCAGTATCGCCATCTAGCGGCGGGGACCGAACTAACTTTTAACATATATTCACATTTTTCACTTTCTTCTGCATATTCATATAATTTTACATTGTAATTATCATAATTCAACTTCTGATTGTTGATTTGTACACCAATAATTAACTGGTATTTAGTTTCTAAAATAAATAAAATTACCGAAACATGTGGCGCCATCTCTGGCAAACCGTCCAAGTTTGTCCTGAAATAGTTCCTACTTAACGCCGCTAGATGGCAAAACATATTTTGGTATTTTTATTTATTGAAAAAACTACGCATTAGACATTTATTAGTATATTAATCGACAATTATTAGTTGACTTATAGTAGTTAGAATCTAAAATTACATTTATATGCAGAGAAAAGTAGAAAATTTATGTTTCGAATATTTTCAAGTTGGTGGCGCCATCTGGCAACCGAAGGTGGAAACTATTTCACAACAAACTTGGACGGTTTGCCGAGAGATGGCGCCAGATGTTTCGATAATTTTATTTATTTTAAAAACTAAATATCGCCCAATTTTTAATGTACAGATCACGAACTAAAAGTTGAATTATGATAATTACGATCTAAAATTGTATTAATGCACAGAGAAAAGTAGGGAATTTATGTTTTGAATATTTTCAGATTGGTA